CTCGATCCAACCAATAAATCAAGTTTATGTTAACAATTTCAAAATAACCTGTGTTTTTAATCGATATTTTAAAAATTGAATATCATGAGGATACATTTAAAAACAAAAATAAATTGTTTAACTCAATTTAGTTTTTTTTTTTTCTAATCAATCCTTATTCTTTTATTTCCATTTCCTACTTTTTATTTCTCATATTGATTCTAAAAAACTAAAGTTACTGATTCTATTTGGAACTTTTAATTCTTCACTTTTATCATTCAATATATCAGTAATAGCACATTTGAAATTTTTCGTAGTATAATTAAAAAAATTTTACTACTTTCTGCCAATCAGAAATATGTGTGCACGGATGTTTTTTTTTTTGCATTATTGCCATTATTGCTTTAATGATGTATTTTTTTTTTCGTAATTATTAGCATACTCTAATGAGCATACATGAAATTCATTTCCAAACAAATTGTTCGATAAAATTTCATCAGAAAAATTGGCACACTTAATTGACTTTAAAACAAAAATGAATGAATAAATTATTATTTAAAATTTTTTCTTGTGCATATCGAATAAATCCTTTTTTTGTGAATGAGAAGAATGAAAAAGAATGAAATTTAGAAAATGATAAAAAATGCATTCACATTTTCTTTCTCTCTTTCTTTTTCATTCCTGAAATGAATAATTTATTTTCCCAAAAGTTAGCAAAATTGAAAAAAAAGAAGAATTAAATAAAAATAGTCATTATCGCTATCACTAATTACAAAGGAAGGAAGAGAAAAAAGAGGTAAACGAATGGAAATTTAACCAAAAAAAAAAAAAAAATGAATAAAAAAATCGATTTTTTTTGAATAAAAGAATTTATGAAATTTATCACTTATAAATGCGCAATTTTTTAAAAATAATTTTTGAACAAATTTCTAGTATGCTCGCACCTTTTTTTTTTGAATATTTCATGAAAAATTTTTAACTTTCAAATATACAATTTACATAACTTTCTATGCTGTAATGATTCGTATAATTAATGACAAATGATAAATTTTATGGTGAATTTTTCAGTGTAACTTCATTAATTATCCAACTATTCATTAGCTAAATTTTTTTTTTCTTTTTAACTTTAATGGTTCAAAAATTACTCGTTTCAACTTTAGTAGCTCAAAACGGTTTCTATAATAGTTCAGTGTTTCAATAATGTTTGCGGATAAATTTAAACATTTTAGTTTCTTCTTTGTTATAAGATTTTTTTTTTCCTTAACAATTTTTACTTTTGATATAGAAATATAGAAAGGTCATATTATCTTAAAAATTCAACAGAATAGAAATAAATAAATAAGCTTTTTTTTCATTATAGGCTTTTTTTCAAAATAATTTTTCCATTGATGACAATAAATTATTTTACATTATTATTTGTTCAGCAATATGCATTCTTTTCCTTCTTTTTTTTTTGGAATTCATAAATTATTACCAAAGGAAATATTTTGACTAAAATGTTTCACCCAAGAAAATTGCACTATTTCTATATCAAACGCAAAAATTTGCAAAAAAAAGCCTTATGACAAAAAAAAGAGATCAAAATGTTGAAATTGATCCACAAATATCATTGAACTATTATAGAAACTCGTTTGAACTCTAAAGTTGAAACGAACAATTTTTGAATTATTAAAGTTAAAAAGAAAAAAAAGCCTGAGCATTTTAGTTGTCAATTAATAAATTATATGTTTAAGCACTACACATATGCTTACACACATATGTAACAAAATTCATTTAACAAATATTATTGAATTAGTAAAAATTGCAAATTTTTATTTTTTAAAATTTATAACCAATACTTATGAATTACATCTAATTTATTTATGCAAATTAGTATCCGCCGCAATTATTCTAATTATTATTTTAAATTTTCTCCCTTACTGTAATAAATGTTGTTAAATATATGAATGGGATGAATATGTTTACAAATGAACAGGTGACTATTGATTTCTCCTATATGATCGATAGATTTTCGAAAGACATCAACATCGATATAGCTAAGTATAGCATGCTTACATCATTTGACGCTTTCCTCCCATATAATTTTTCATTTTTTCAAGCCAATTCCAACAGGATCGCATTCCCTTCATCTTATCTTCATCGATATCATGCCCGTTAGTATCACATTAACACTTAATGTTTTTATCCCTTTTAGCAAATTTATTTCAGTAGCAGTCGTTATTGTTATGGCTCCTATTGTTACTGTTACTGTCATCGTTGTTGCAATTGTTATTGCTGTGGTTGTTGCTGTTACCGTTATTGTTATAGTTATTATTGGTACTATTATTGTTGTGGTTGTGGTGGTTGTTGTTGTTGTTGTTGTTGTTGTTGTTGTT